GTAGGGGGGTGGTAACGGAATCGGCTATAATGCAACAATGTCAGCTAGGATCTTCTTTAAATTATTGTGTAAACGATGGCAACATATATCCTTATCTTTTTGTCAAATGGTAACTCATTTCTTCTTTAATTTTTTTCTGCTTTTGTTGTTTCATTTTAAGGGCTTATTACTGAGTGTATACAAATTTAGAATTATTATATTTTCCTAATGAGCTGAATCTTTTTATTATTATGAACTATCTGTTTTTATCTCTAAGACAGAAAAACCTACTACGCCTAATATTTATAGCTACATCTACTTTCATGGTTAGTATTGCATCAGATATCTTTTCCATTCTTTTCCTTTCAAACTCTGTTTTTGTGTTATAGATATATATCTTGTAAACACAATATAGTATTTTTTCAATCTAGCCTAACCATCTTTGTCTTTTAACTGAAATCATCAATTTACATTTTAAATAATTACTTAAATATTTGGAGTTTAATATATTATACTTGCTATTTGTCATGCCTGTTCTGTGTTATCTTGTTTTCTTTTTTCTTCCCTCCTTTTGGGTTGATTGCATATTTTTTGTTCTTCCTTTTTTCTCTTTGGTTTATTTTGTAAGTCATAAACCTTTATACTATTCTTCTACTGGTTGCCTTAGATAGTACAAAATGCATCCTTGACTTTCAAAATCTAATTTAATGTACAGTCATGTGCTACTTACCTACAGGATACATTTTAAGAACTGTGTTGTTAGGCGAGTTGGTCATTGTGCAAACATCATACAGTGTACTTATACAAATATAGATGACATGGCCTACTACAGACGTAGGCTCTATGATATAGCCTCTTGCTCCTAGGCTATAAGCCTGTACAGCACATTACTATATGAAACAGCAAGAGATTAAATCAATGTAATCAAGAGATGGTAAACACAACACGTATGAAGCTGCTGCCATTGTAACACGGCATACTGTTTTACAGCAAACTTTTTTATAAATAAAAAGAGTATACTCTAAAATAATAGTAAAAATATAGTGTAGTAACTACATAAACCAGTGCATAGTCGCTTATCATTATCAAATATAATGCACTGTACATAATTATATTGCTATACTTTTAAACAACAGACAACACAGTGGGTTTGTTTATTCCAGCATCACCGTAAACATGTGAGTAATGTATTGTGCTATAACATTATGATGGCTAGGACATCACTATGCGAAAAGAATATTTTTTTGGTGGGAGGAGGAAACAGCCAGGGTCATTGGTTACACATTGGCTTCATGCCACAATGGCATAGTTGACTCTTTTAAGGAGAGCACAGCTCACAGTGGCCCATGCGGGGATCAAACCAGCAACCTTGGTGCTATCAGCACCACGCTCTAACCAACTGAACTAACCAGTCACCCTGCGATAGGAATTTTTAAGCTCCATTATGATCTTATGGGACCACCATGGTAGATGTGGTACGTTGTTGACTGAAACATCGTTATGTGGTGCATGACTGTAATTGTACTTTTATTCTCTTCCAAGACAATGCAAGAGAATTTTACCTCCATTTCCCTCCCTAACTTCTATGCTATCATTTATTTTAATTTTGCATTTATTTGAAATTCTGTAGTCATTATTACATTACTATTTTTGTATGGTCAACATTTATTTAAATTTATCATATTTACAATTTTTTTTGCTCTTTATTCTTTTCTTACAACTCTGATATTCCTTTTGTATAAAGTCTATCCTCTAGGATTTTTTATTTTTATTTTTTGAAGTCTGCTGATGGTGAACTCTCTGTTTTTGTTTGTCTGAAAATATCTTGAGGAATATTTTTCTTGGGCATGGAGTAATTCTGGTTTGGCAGAGTTTTTTGGTGGTGTTTACCCAGTGTATTAAAAGAATCAGTCTATGATCTCTGGCTGTCATAATTTTTGTTGATTTATGTGTGGTCCTTTTAACTGCTGCTCCTCTGAGGGTACTTTAGTTTTTTTTTCCCTTTGGTTGTTTTATCTGATTTCTTTTATCATTATCTCTTACAGTTTTGGATTTCTACAGTTTCACTAGTATGTGTCTAGAGAGGGATTTCCTTGTAATATCGTGCTTGGGGTTTGAGTATCATTTCTAGAATCTGTTAATTGATGTTTATATCAGTTTTAGAATACACGTTTAGTATGTTAACACTTTAAATATTCTTCTCCATACTGTCTCATCTTTTCCTTTTAAGTATTTTCTTACTGACTGCTTCGAGTTTCTTATCCTCTCTTATATTTTCCATTCTTTTATCTTTCTGGGTTTTACTTATTATATTTGTCTTTCTGGAAGAAATCATTGATAATTTCTTCTGGTCTGATAATTTAAAAAAAACTCTTTTTTTTTCTATCTCTAATTTGCTGATGAAGCTTAGCTATTTAGTTCTTCATTTATAATTATATTTTTGAGCTCTAGGGTTTCTACTTCATTTTTATTCAAATATGCAATGTCTCTCTTACATTTCCAGTTATCTGCTGAAATGTTTAACTTTTTCTTTTATCATCTTGATCTTAGAAAAGTGTTGTTTTATAATTTGTGTGTGATAGTTTCAATATTTGGAGCCTCTGTACTTCTCTATTTGTATTATCTGGTGTGTGTGTGTGTGTGTGTGTGTGTGTGTGTGTGTGCGCGCGCGCGCATGCGTGCTAGTTTTAATTTATGCTGTAATGGCTCCTCACCCTTACAGTTATCTTTGATTATGTGCTAGATATTGTATTTGAAAAGCTGGTTGTAAAAGTAATTCAAAGTTTATGGGTAATCCCCCAGAGATGATTTTTGTTTCGCTTCTGCCATATGCTTCTGGGTAGTAGCAAACCAGAATGAATGTAATCCAATTCCAGGGATTAGAATTTTGGGAACTGCCCAATAATTTACATCAGGGCTGCAGTCTGAGCTGGTTCACTTATACTCACGGGATGGATCTCTTAGGGTGCCAAATGGAAGCACAGGAGGTCTTACGGAACCCCCACTCCAGACAGGCCCAAACTCTGCCTGCCTGGCTTTGAACATCATCAAAATCCGTTTCACTTCTCATTTACCTCTTTTGGATTGGGAAATGCCCATAGGGCAAAAGAGGCCCCAGTTTCTGTATTCAGCAAGTTCTCCTGGATTGGCTCAGTAATTCTTCATGATCATCTCAGCTCTTACTTGGCTGTGGGCTGATGTTTGCTTGGTATGGATTTTTACTTAAAATGTCTGAGTACCCTAGCTCACTATTACAAAAATTTGATATCCTCCAGATAAATATGAATTGGATTCTAGTTTCTGCTTTGGAATTTACTAGTTGTTGTGACCTTTAACAATTTACTTATAGCCCATGGGCCTGTTCCTTCATATATAAAATGGATTTGAGCAGTCACTTTGGGATCTGCTGTTTAGTTTCTACTTCATCAGCACAATTTACTCTAATCACTGAGGAGATTTTAGGATAAGGGGCCAAAAGAGGAGTTGCAGAATGCAGTGACTGTTGCTTTTATTGTTTTTCCTATAGGTAAGAGGATCTGGAATGTGGTAGGTGCTGGTAAATATTTTAAGAAACAAAGAAGGAAGGAAAGCTTGTCAACAGATTTGTTAAAATTTTGTTTTTATTCTGTGAAGTCACTCACTACCATCATGATGTCAGTATTGTCAGTCCAAGAACCCCATTTTATAGTCCTGGCTTTTCTGAGATTGGGGAGAAACAAGAGGACTGAGATCAGTCTGGCTGGCAGAATCTTAGGAAACTTTTTTAGCCGGCCCACCAGCTATGTGGGAACAAGAAAATGCAGCATTTGACAAAGGTTTATGTTAATCAGAGCCCCACCTATCTTCCTCCACTGATGCTTGTTTAAGTGGGACAGCATTCCATAAAGCTGTCCCATTGCCATAACAACCTGTATCAGATGATGGAAGTCAAGAGCCTTTATCAGAAAATACATAATAAGCTGGTTAATGGTGAGATCTTTACACCCCCTCTTTGCTTAACAGTTTCTCCTACCACATTTTTCTTTTTGCAGTTTCTTGGCATCTTTTATGATAAGATACCCACTTCTTAACTCCTTGTGACCCCACACAAACTACGTTATCAGGTAGGATAAAGGACAACAAAAAAGGGAAGGCAGGTTATCACCAGGTGACTCTTTAATAGTTTGAAAACTGAAAGGCTGTAATAGAATACTAATCCTATAGACAAAGGGTCAGAAACATTGGCCAAGGCAAATTTGTCTTTATAACTGGGGCCCTTAATTGGGGTGCTACCCTATATTTCAATTGAATATCTATTTTTAAGCCTCCCTTCAACAATCAGAGTGTCTCCCTATTATAGTTTCCAAAAGTCTATCTGTGAAATAAATTACATTATTATGTTTCCCAAGGCTATCAGAAGAGTATAGCAATTCCATAGATTATTACCTTATCAAGAATCTACACATGTAATTGATGCATTCAGAAGCAATCACTGAAAAATTTCAATATAAAAATAAGAGAATAGATGCCCATGGGCCAGCTGAGTGGCGCGATGGTTAAGAACTGGCTTGGGACGCCAGAGGGCCCTGGTTCAGATCCCACATATGAGGGCCAGTGACACTGCCCGCCACAGCTAAGATGCTGAATAACAGCTCAACCTGGAGCTGGGCTGCTGTGAGTTGCTGGCAAAGGCGTAGGCTGCAGCCCCTGTGGCAGTGGGTTGCCATGGTCTACCATGTGTAGCCAGCAGCCAGCGTGAGCGGCTAGCAGCCGCAGTGAACGGCCATCCAGAAGCTGGCGACTGATCTGCCTCGCCCGGGAAGAGTGCAATGATGGTGCCAACTTGGGCCAGTGAAGCAACGTCCTCCACAACTAGACTGAAGAACAAAACAACAGCAACTTGTCTGTTCTCCTTCCCCCAATTCCACAGCACTGTTCCCATCTCCCCAATACCTCAATTAAAAAAAAGAGAATAGATGCCCATACCAAAGTTAATGGGTGTAAACAGCCAACAGAGGTGGTATTATAAAGGAAATTAAAGATCTTGTTTTGGAAGGTAGTTTTATTGGTAAAGATATACGAAAATTGTCACCACTGAAAGTGCCGGTAATAAAGCTCTGAGGCTGGCCTTGTATTTCCAGTACCTAAGGGGAAGAAAGTCTGCCTAAGAACAGGATGTTAGTTGAGGGATTGTGTCGAATGAAGAAAATGAATGGATGGTCGGCACGGAAATTTTCCTCTGGCATCAGCATGCAGAAGGTGGCGATGCCTGCTGTGGCGGCCGCGGCCTCTGTGCCCTCCTCATTTACTTCCACAAAAGACTTGTGGACAATTTTTGATATGAAGAGATCTCTGGCTCCGGACATGCCAGACAGATCAGCCTTGCTATTAAAGAGATCCTCTACACCCAGGTGGGCCAGGTGAGAGTTGAGGTTGTAGCTCTCTTCCAGCTTGAACCTGGGCAAGTGGACATTGACTTCTATGAGAGCCAGATTCTCACGTTTGGTCCACTCATGCAGTTTTTCCAAAGTCAATTGTTCCTCCATCTGGAATGATAATGGGCGAAAAGAAGAGGTGAGAACAATTTCATATAAACAAGGTAATAAAGCATTATTTAAATGAACGGACTCACAATATCAGTTGCTACTTAGTTTCCTTCATGTGTTGTGCCAAAACAGATTCCACATGGAGGATTTCATTTCTTTCCAAAAATTGGTGATAACAGATGGAGCTGTGTTCCAAGCCATCAAGGGCTCAAAGTAACAGGAACATTGGACATCCAGTACCTCAACCATCATGCATCATCCACCCACCCATCTATCTGTCTATCCAGGACTTACTAAGCCCCTACCACATTGGGTTACTGTGATGAGCCATGACAGCTATTATTACTCGAACTGGTTGAGTGGAGCCAGGGAAAATTTTAAAGGTTTCTTCTATTTATTCTGAACCCCACTGATCACTGTGGCTATCTGTGAACCTCACACAGCTGAAGTAATCTCTAATAGGTTTAGCTCCTAGGTAAAAATAGAAAAGGGCCTAATTCCTCATCTAAAATGTGGGTAATAATAGAATCTACCTGACATCATTGTTGTGCACATTAAATGAGTTAATGTATATAAAGCACTTGGCACATAGCAAGTGCTACATAAATGTCAGCTATTATCACTAATGTTATTACTACCATTGGACTTGAACAGAACCATCATTCTACTTGTTCTATTGATGCTGATTAGTCCTTTCATGAGGTTAGAGAATTTCTTTCTATAATCAGAGAAGAGATGAATATGGAAATACAATTGAAATAAAGAACTCATTGATTTTAACATATACTTTATACATGCAAATGGCTAATATTAGATTTCTTCCTGAGAGAAAGTTTGGTTGAGTGGGAAAACCACACAGCAGGCTAGAGACACTAAAAAAAACCCAAAAACATAAACTTCACAGTTTTGCCTAGTTCTAGCCTGGCAAGAGACGCCATAGCCTTTAAACTATATGTAATAGAAACCTCATACGAAGTTCATATTAGAAAATAGGCCTAGCTCTCAGCAAACGTGTCACATGAGTCTTTTCTATCATGTAGCTGCTAGAAATTTAAATCACAATCAATATGAATTGTGGTGAGAGTGAGCAGTGTAATAATAGGCTTTCATAATAAAACTATATACCGTACTAATGTTCTGGGGTTTTTAATTTTAAAATATTTGTTTCAATAAAACAAGCCTCATTTTACTGCACTTTCCTCTAAAGTTCATTTAAGAGAGCTTCCGTGAGCTGCCACCTACCAATGTTACATTTAGTATAGATCTTTAGATGTTCCCCACCACAACTGTTCCTTAACAGCAGATAGAAATTTAAATTTAGGGCTTAAGAGTAGTAAATGTTCATGGGCTAATTTACAAAGGAATGATAAAGAATCAGAAAGGGAAGTTAAGTAACACCAGTAAACACACAACAAGTACCGACCACACGACATACACACAAGGCAGAATCGGTAAGTCAATGGAAACATGAGCACTGAGTGTGGGAGCCTTTACCTTCTTCAGACCTGTCGACTCGTCCTCAATGTCATCCGGCAGCAGGATAACCATGCTGAGCTCCTCACCTTGGTAAGGCAGTTCCAGCACACGGCACTTAAGGTCCTGGATGTAGCCATATGGAAATTTCTTCTTCTGATACATCATTTTCACTGTTTTTGTGTCTTTCTGAACAGTTGAAAAAAACAAGTCACTCATATTATTATCTGCATTCTTTTAGAGCAACGAGTAATTTTATACAGTTACCTCGCCTTACCTTATTCAGTCTGAATGATGCATCGGCCGTGGCCTCTTTCATGAATTTCTCCTGCCAATTTCCTTTGAAATAGATGGCATTCACTAGCACAAGTTTAGTCATGTTATCAACCACACCTGTGACCAACAGTTCTGGAATTTTCCCTAAAAAGATAAAGTAAGTTTTTCTTAAAAATTCATATATGGGAATTCCAAATTTGAATTGACATTTGATCACTGAAATGCACTGAAATGCAATTCAAATGCATACTTTCTATTTAATTTCCTTTAACATATTAGTTTAGGAAAGTCCTACAGCATGTTTCTACTTTAAATAAACCAACTAAAGGGTTTAAGGGATAAAAACAGGAAACCTCCTTTTCTGGAGTGTGTGATCAACAATGAGCCTTATTTTGTGAATGGCCATTCTTTTTCAGGAATAAAAAATATTCCTTAACAAAAATGTTTTTTAGTCCTAGTAAATAAATCACTTCTTCAAATCCTCCAAGTGGAAGCTACTCTCACAAAAACGATTTTAACCAATATCCAAAAGGTAACGACAATTACTCCACTGAAACACAAGGTCCCCATGACCACAGCATGGCCACGAATCCTTATATGGAAGACAGGTGTTCAGCAGGTACCTTGATGAATTCCATGAGTAGGTTAGAGAGAGATGTAGTGGAGAAACAGCCGAGGGAAGAGTCTGCCCCACCTAACATCCCTGATTGCTTAGACAAGATGTTGGCAAAAATTTTATGACCACATCACTTTGTGACTATTGAGTCACAAGTATCAGGAAATGTCTTTCCATATGTGTATTAAGAAATTTGGGCCAGGCTGGATTTTCCTCAAAACTTTATTCCTTTTATTCTACATTCAATGTTAGTTTTAATTTTAAAATGTAGTTTTGGGAATTTTTTGGGAAAAAATATTTAGCTGCTTCAGTTAAATTATGTTTACATTTCCACTTTGAGGAATTTCTACATTCGAAAGCTGTCTGGCACTCTGCAGTGCCACAGTTTACCCCCAGGGTCAAAGGAAAAGGGTGAGGGAATCATTTGCAGGTTGAGAAGATGGCAGGAGGAAAAAACAACCAGTGTGTAAATACTACATTCTGCCCACTCTCTTACCTTCTGTCTGCCCTTTGACCCACTCATTTATCACCTTCCTTGCATCTTCAGAAGCATGTTGAAAATCTACACTGGTTAATTCAGCACCATACATTTTTTGAGTTGAAGCTAAGAACTCCTATGAAAGGGAGGGAGGGAAAATGTCATGAATAACACCTACTAGATACAGAAATGGTTTTCTAAAATCCTTAAAAGCAATAGAAATTGTCCTAAGAGGCATAAATTTCATTGTAACAATAATTTTAACCCTTATACTTTTTGCATTATGGTAAAACATACTTTACCATCTTAACCATTTTTATGTGTATAATTCAGTGGTTTTGGTGTTGTATAAAATTTACCTATTCTCTTCTAAACTTTGGCTAATATTTTCATAAATAAGCAAATACTGATTGTTCTTGAAAGTGAATTATGGAATTCACTCTTGCTTTAGTAAAATAGCCAGGATCAATCTTTTCACTCTGAAGACCATAAAATGAAATCACATCAATTAATGGGAATACTGTCTGTCATGTTTTCATTCTGTATCATTTTTCTGAATGTTAAATTCAGAAAATTGAAACTAACTTCTGTGACTTGATTGTGCTGAAAAAAAGTCTGCATTGTCTAGTGAGTTTTAGAACATGAGTGCAAAATACTCACAGGGAGGAAATTATAGGTTTTCTCTCCATATAACCTATTAGCAAGTTTCAGAATATAGGGAGCTCCACGCTTGTTGATATCAGCATTCAGACTCTGAAATCTTGAATGAATCTCCTCAACTGTATTGAAATAAAAAGCCTAAAATAAAGAAAACATTATTTTTATAACCATTGATTTTTTGAAATTATAAACGGATTCCTTGGTATTTGCTTCCATCAAATTAAATTGTTTTTATTACTAATTATTGGGCTGATAAGTCCCAGCCCAATACTTTATTCATTTTTCAATGGAGAACAAATAATAGAATCAAAAATTTATAGCTTTGTGAGACATAATAATTACATTAGAAACTGTTTTTATATCACTTTTTTATTGTAACTATAGTTCCACAAATAGGAGTGGTTAATAAACTAAATATTTATACACCTCTGTTTTTTCTCCAAAGAAAATCATAAATGTATGTTCATATGTATATTCTGTATTAAATATAATTTTACTAAAGTGCTCAGAAATAAACAGTAAAAATAAGAATCATCACCTATGCAGAAACACAAAGATATTACAGATTGAGGGTTTTTAAAATTACACTATTAGCACCAGTAACTCACGTATTTAAAAATAACACCTACAAATATAAACAACATTTGGCAAAAGTTTAATTTCCATGTTACAAACCAAGAATCCCTTTATGGTTTTATGAGGCCTGGGTTGGTTCCTTGTTTTAAAACAGGAAGAACAAACCTTCACAGTGTACAAAGTCCAGTTAGTCACCAAGATATGGAATGTTTGTGTAGTTCCTATGATCGATCTGCTTTAATGTAAATAGCGGGGGGGGGAGGGGATCCTTAAAACTAGTCTTTGCTGAGGTAATAAAGTCCTTGGAAAACCTCAAAATAGAAGCAACTGCAAGAAGCAACTAACAATTAATACCAGGGTTGTTGTTTTTTAAGTGGATTTTTGAAAACTTTAAAATGCTTTCCTATCTGCTGTGATAAAGATGGTTGGTCTTCCATAAAATACAGTAATAGAAGCTCTACAGCTGAACAGGCCCATAAACTTGAATCCAGGGTTGGCCTTTCCTAGTTATAGGCACCATGTAATTTGTGAGCAGTAAGTTAGAAAGACCTTCACTTTTGGCACTCCATTCCCCTAGGTTTCAAGGGAAGCCAGAGTTCCCCTCTCAGAATTAAAGAACCCGTAGCACAGAAGTGCCCTGCACACCCAGTAGGAAGGCCAGGCATTCCTGCTTCTTCTCCTGCTGTAAGAGTGACCTGCCATATCACCCAGGGCTTGGTCCTGTCTGTAGCTGCCACACTCCATCACTCTCCTCTCCCTGCCAGGTCCTCCTGCTCACACAGGCACTTGGTGCCAGGCACAGAGCTAGGCCTGGAGAATACAGAACTACATGGTCACCTGTTCCCTCAAAAAAGTGACACTGCCAACTTCTGCACCGCGGTGCTTTTCCTATGTGTCATTATGCTCAAAAGTAACATTACATAACAGGCATTATGAGTAGCAGGCCACAGGTAGCGCAGAAACTGGAAAACCCTAGTCCAGGATGAGATGCTGTCAAAGCTTTGCCCACTGGAATAGAAAAGAAGTGGCCCACTGCAAGGGTTTTGTAGCTTTCTTCACTGCTATATCCTCAGCCAAACAAAATCAGCACCTGGCACACAGTATGTGCTCAGTGAAAACTCGATCGTGAATGAAAGCCTGCATAAAAATGGATCGTTCTTGGGGCTTTTCTGAAAGTCTGGCTTCATAATACATAGTTGCTGAAACAGAAATTCAGGTTTTAAAATACACTGTAAGAGCTCAAAGGCACACATTTTCAGTACAGACTTGCAAGGAATTCAGACTATTTTTGTTTGTTTCTGCTGACCTTCGACACCTGTGCTGCAGTAGTGCCTCTGGTCCCCAGAAAGACCATGGCCAGCGCTGATGAAATGCTTATGGGAGAAATGAAGATGTTTCCAGTAGGATTCTTCTCATTCAAGGTGTGGAAGAGATCCAAAGCGAACCTGGTGTTTGCTGTGCTCAGCTGCTCCATGGCGAAGGCTGCAACAAAGAACAGAGACCCGAGCTGCCCACTGCCCACACCAACAAATCACGCAGTGGCATTTCTCCATGTCTTCCTCAACTTGTGCCAACTGCCCTGAACAGCCTAGAACTTGTATTTTCTTACAAAAACATTTTCTCATGTGCACAAATGTGGAAACTAGACATAACTGGCCAAGAATCCATCAGTGACCCAGGATCAGGACCCAGGGTACCCTAAAGGGCTCTGACCTTACACACAGCAGCTAAGGCTGGGCCTTTCCTGATAAGTTTATGAGCACATACATTTCCCACCCTTTGGATTGCCTCTGATTCTTTTGGGCAATAAAGCCATTGTCCACATTTACCTGAAATAAGAATGCTCCTATTACAAAATCATACCTACCTATTACGCATTAAAGCAAATTCCAGTAGATATAATATTCCTTATTTTTGAGATTCAGTTACTAATGTTGAGAGAGGTAAAGTGTCGCAAGTATCATATATCTGTGTAGGATATGAGAGTTTGAAAACCCAGCACAGGTCCCAGGATCAGGCGGGGCCGTCCAGACAGGGAGAAGATGACAAGTCTCCTCTCTGACACTCTCTCGCAGTGTCCCAGATTAAGCTCTGGGCATTCCACCCCAGCTCAGCCGCCCACTTACCGTGGCTACTTCTCTCAGCGCCTTAGTTTCCCCCACATATAGTCAAGGAAGAATAATAGCTGTGCTGGCTGCTTCGGGCATAATACATTATTATTATTGTTGTTTAAAAGTAACCTCTAGGGCCGGCCGAGTGGCGCGTTGGTTAAGAGCTGGCTTGGGACGGGACGCCAGAGGGCCCCGGTTCGGATCCCACATATGAGGGCCAGTGACGCTGCCCTCTACAGCTGAGATGCTGAACAACAGCTCAACCTGGAGCTGGACTGCCATGAGTCGCATGAGAAGGCAGGTGGGTTGCCATGGGCTACCGTGTGTAGCCAGTAGCCAGCGGGAGCAGCCAGCAGCCGTTGTGAGCAGCCGTCCAGAAGCCGGCGACCGATCTGCCTCACCCGGGAAGAGCACAATAATGGTGCCAACTTGGGCNAGCCGCTGTGAGCGGCCGTCCAGAAGCCGGCGACCGATCTGCCTCACCCGGGGAAGAGCACAATAATGGTGCCAACTTGGGCCAGTGAGGCAGCGTCCTCCACAACTAGACTGAGGAACAAAACGACAGCAACTTGTCTGTTCCCCTTCCCCCAATTCCCCAATAAATAATAATAATAATAATAAATTTAAAAAATAAAATAAAAATGATTTAAAAAAATAATAAATAAATAAAAGTAACCTGTAGGATTGCATGGGCCTCGTCTCCCTCCCTCCACCCACAGAAAGGAGAAGCAGATTCTGCCTCGGGGTTGCCTGTTAACTGTCACAAACAGCTCAGGAAGGGAGCTCAGGAAGAAAAACATTCCGATCTCAGGCTCCAGGTCTGCGCCATGCCCCGACCTCCGCCCCTGGCAGGGCTGCCTGGCCTCGAGTCCCCGACACAGTGTGGGCAATCCGGGGTCTCCCCGGGGGCGGGGCGCACAGCGGGGGGAGGTGGCATCCCAGGCGCAGGTAGGCGGTGCAGCGAGCAGTCCTGGCGAACAGGAGGGAGCTGTAGTGACCCCAGGCCAAGCAGGGTCCGGGCGGTGGTAGGGGGCGTTGACTCCTGCATGGTGCGCCGAACTGCCGGGGCTGGCCGATCCTCCCCAACAGGGTAACGGGCTTGGGAGAGGGGGCGGGGAAGGGAGTGGCGCTTACCCTCTGATCTGCAGCCTAGGCGGGGCGCGGGAACTGGAAAGCTGCGCGGAGCTTGCACACCACCCTTATATAGCTGCGGAAGTGGAGTGCTTCCCGGGAAGGGGGCTGGGACCGACTGGGCGTTGGCCCTTCCCCCAGATGACTAACTAGGAGTCTGGGCTTGGTCTTTATAAGCCCAGGTGTGGTGAGCATGGACTCTGCACAATGCCCTACTCAAGGAATCAGCACCTGTCTGAGTCTAAGCAAACTCAGATCTCTCTCTGGCAAGGACCTGGTGGCCTATGGTGTGAGTGACTGAGAGGACATAACGTGTCACCTCTTAGAGGGCAAACTAGCACCTTCAGAATCTCATCAATATACTCCAAATTCTGTAGGAGGGGGCGGGGCAGGAGGAGGGAGGGGCCTCTAGGATGAGATAAAAGAGAATCAGGTCTGTCAACTGATGGTCATTGGTGTCAACTCAACACCAGTAGAAATCCTCAATTTAGGGGGCAGTGAAGCAGGAAACTTTATTCAGTGCAAACAGCTCAACTGTGATAAAGCACAGCTGCAGCTCAATAGCGTTGCAGCTCAATTATGAAGCAGCATGGCTGCAAGGCTGCCCTCTGGCTAGACAGCTCTGTTCCGGTCTGCTCTGGCGAGATGGCTGCCCGTTTTGCACCTTCTCTGAGCCAAAGAAAGTCTTCAATTTTCAGTAGAAAGGGAAAGTGAGCTGGGAGCTGACTTAGAGAGAAGTCCCAGCTTTGATCCCTAATTGGTCTGTCCTCATGCAAATGACTCTAAATCCTCAGTTTGATTGGTCCAAAAGGCACTATCTTGACTGGTAAGAATGGAGCTGCTCTGATTGGTTGGTAAGATGCTAATGGAGATTTAGCTGTGCAGCTTCCATTGGATGGGGCAGCTTCAGTCCTACTGGTTAAAATACCACTCCAGGAATTCCTTTGTAAGGGCTGGCTCAGATGGCAGGAACACAGTGCAGGCAGGTGGTTAAGTGCAGGCTTGTCCCTGAAGTGCAGTTTGTGTGAGAGGCCCCTGTGTAGAAATGGCTGCTAAGCTCTGTTTTTACATTTTGAGCCCAGATAGCCACCAGTCCTTGATAGATATCTTTTTTCTCAGAGTCCACAATTCCAAACAACATCCTTGATGTCACTGTCTTTAGATACCAAAATGAGTTCAGATAATTCTGCATTCATGGAACTTCTCCCATGGTTTTTTGTTTTGTTTTGTTTTGTTTTGTTTTGTTTTGTTTTTTTCAAATCTCAACATTAAATGGGCATAAAGGGAAAATCTTATTGTTTTATGAGTATGGATAATATAGTGTGAATGGGTTTGTAGATTTTTTTTTTAATTCTGAGAACTTGTTTATAATGAAAAGGAGCAAAGAAGATCCAGTAATGAGTGATGAAAATACTATCCATAGTTTAAAAAGAAAGCAGCAAGAGTTTAATAACTACAATTGTAGAGTGCCTTACAGTTTATTAAAATAAAGAAACTAACATTTATTAAAAGCTACTCATAGCTAGATTGAAGTGGTTTGATCACACCTGGTAACCTCTCTACTGTTTCTCACAGAACTAGAGAACCACTCAGTAGCTTCTATGAGTTCATTATGAGAAAGTCAAGAATGAGAGGTGACACTGAGAAGCTAAATTAAAATCTGAGACCCATAACCAAAGAAAAAAGTATTCATCAATCATCAATCAATACATGTACTGTCTAAGGTTGAGACAAAGTAACTATTCTGTCAAATTACATTGGAATATTCTACTGGTGGCTTTAAAATGTAAATGGATACTGTCAAAGGTCAGAGATACTCATATACTCATGATGGCACAGCCGATTTGATACAGAGTTTGGCCTATCTACTAAACTCAAGCATGTGCTTACTTTAGCGCCCATCCAGCAATTTTACCCCTGGGGCTTTTCCCAACAAAAATGTGTATGAGCATGTGCACCTGGAGATATTTACAAGAATGTTCATAACAACATGGTTTGTATTAGACCCATACTGGAAACCACATAAATGCCCATCAACAGAATGGATAAATACATACAATACAATAATATAATGGAAATGGACACACTACAGTAATACACATCAACATAGCTGAATCTCACAAACACACTGTTGAACAAAAGAGCACAGACACAAAAGAACTGTATGGCTCTGGTTATAGAAAGTTCAAAAACAGGCAGAACTAATCCATGGTGTTTGAATTCAGGAGAGTGGTTGTCTTTGAAGAGTAAGGGGGATTGTATTGACTATATTTTCTTATTTTCTGTATTTTTGATGCTCTGGCATTTGAGGCCTTGATTCTGGAGAGACTACCTCTATCAGGATTAGCTAATTCCTAGAGATAATGAATGACTCCCCTGACTCCGCTATGTTGTTACAAATGGAAAGATTTCATTCATTTTTATGGAAGAGTAATATTCCATTGTATATATGTATCACCTCTTCTTCATCCATTCATGTATCCATTGACACGTCTATTGCTTCTATGTCTTGGCTATTGTAAATAATACTGCAATGAATATCGGAGTTCATATGTCTTTTCAAATTAGTGTTTTGGGTTACTTCAAATAAATGCCTAGAAGTGGAATTTCTGGATCATGTGGTAGTTCTATTTTTACTATTTTCAGTAACCTGTTTCCCATAGTGGCTGCACCAATTTGCAATCCTATCAACAGTGCGTGGAGGCTCCCTTTTCTCCACATCCTAACCAACACATGTTGTTTGTTGATTTATTGATGATAGCCATTCTGACAGGTATGAGGCGATATGTTATTGTGGTATTGTGGTTTTAATTAGCATTTCCATGATGATTAGTGATCATCAATAGTGGAGCATCTTTTCATATATCTATTGGCCATCCGTATGTCCTCTTTGCAGAAATGTCTATTCAGGTCCTCTGCCCATTTTTAAATTGCATTGTTTGGGGGATTTTTTGTTCTTATATTGTAGGAGTTCCTTATATATTTTGGATATTAACCCCTTATTGGATATATCCTTGGTAACTATCTTCCCCTATTCTGTAGGTTGTCTTTTCATTTTGTTGATCGTTTCCTTTGCTGTGCAAAAACTCTGGTGTGATATAGTCTCATATGTTTATTTTTGGGGGCCGGCCGAGTGGCTCAGTTGGTTAAGAGCTCGCGAAAGAGTTTGAGCTCTGAGCAACAGCGGTTCGAGTCCAGCCCGAGCTGAGCAGCCGCTGAGCTGCCAACAGGTAGCAGGATGGCTCAGCTAAAAAAAAAAAAAAAAGTTATTACTTCTTTAAATAGGTTTTCAATCCCTTACTTTCTTCCCCTTCTGGTACCCCATATTGAGAATGTTAGTACAATTGATGTTGTTCCCAGAGGTGCCTTAAACTCTTCTCGTTTTTTAAAATTGTTTTTTCTTTTTGCTGTTTTGATTGGTTGTTTTCTGCTATTTTGTCTTCCAAATCTCTGATTTGATCCTCTGCCTCATCTAATCTATTTGTTGATTCCCTTTAAGACAGTCAGGAATTCCCTGGTAAACTGAGCAAAGATAAAAAAAAAACCTGACCATTTCTTAAACTAGCCATTCCTTCAAAATTATAGGGTAACTCCCTCATACTGGAACAAAGACATCAATCATGCCCATTTTGAAAGACATTACAAAAGGCCTTCCCAAGGCTGAGCAACAGAACAAATCTGATAGACCCCTTAATAACATGCACCACCAGTATTTCAGCATTCCCCCTTCCAGGTAGAAAAAAAACTATAAAACTCAAGCCTTTTACCCTAGCTAGTGGGCATCCCATTTTCCAGGTACCCCCTCGCGCTCGGGAGCTGTAACCTTTCTCTTGCTTTAATAAAACTATCCTCTGCTACAAACTCTACCTCTCTGGTCCATTTCTCCATTCTCTGGCTTCATGAGACCATGACCCGGCACAAGAAATATCCTACATCACTTTTAATGTATTCTTCATTTCAGTTGTTGTATTCTTCATTTCTGACTAGTCCTTTTTAATTTTTTTTATCTCCACTTTATGTTTCCAATCTCTTTGTTAAAGTTCTCATTAAATTCATCTGCTCCTTCTCTAAGTTCACTGAGCATCCATATAACCCATGTTTTGAACTCTGCATCAGGTAGATTGTTTGTTTCCATTTAGTTTAGGGTTGTTTTCTGGAATTTGTCCTGTTCTTTCATTTGGGATGTGTTTCTTTGTCTCCTCATTTTGACTTAATCCCTGTGTTGGTTTCTATATATTAGGTAGATCTGTTGTGCCTCCTGGTCTTGTCAGAGTGGCGATGTAGTAGATCTCCTGTGGTGCAGTCTCCCGGGTCACTTGAGCCAGGTGCTTCAGGTGTGTACCTTGTGCAGGTTGTGTGTGCCGTTATGTTGTAGTTGAGCCTTCATTGCCCTTGGCTTGTCAGTGGGAGGGATTGACCCTCAGACTCATTAGCTGTGAGAAAAGTTCATGACTACAGTGGATAAGCTGTTTTGTGGGGGCTGGCCCTGTGGAGATGGATGCATTTTATTGAAGCTCTCATGCCTGCCCAGTCTGCCATTTGGGTGTGTTGTTTGTGGAGCTGGTTGGGCGGTGCTCTGGTGCAGTCTGAAGCTGGCTACCATATATGTTGGTTCTGGCACCTCTTGGGAGGGGGTCTGGTGCAGGTCAAGGTCAGCTGCTGTCTGTGCCTTGCCTGGAGCCACCTGGTAGGAGCTAGAAAGTGATCTGCAGATGGTTGCCACTTGTGCTGGCCATGGAGGTGACTGGGAGAGAGGCTAAGCTAGGAAACAAGCCTGGCTGCCACTAGTGCTGGGCTTGGGGCTGCTTATCAAGAGGTATAGGGCCTGTCAAGGACAGATGCTACTTGTTTGGGGTTTGTGAACCTTTGAGAGATTTTCGGAAAGTCCACAGCATGAACCAAGACATGAACCATATGTGCAGA